AGGGGTAAGAGAGATAAACTAACTTGGAGATTGATATGGAAATAATTATAAAACCTCAGGAACATGTAAAAGGACTAGAAAGTAGGGCAAGGAGCTGGCTGGGCCAGAGGAAAAATGGGGAAAGGACCCAGTGGAGTAAATAGAGAAGTTAGTGAGAGGTTTAGCACTAATTCTTTGACACTGGAAGGCAGAGAAACTAGTAAATTTGCACCAGGAGGGAAGATTATTTTTGCAGAGAAGTTGTATAGTTTGGAAGAGATAAGCACCCCGAAAAGGCAATACCTGTACTGAAAGGGGGGAACGGGTGGAGTTTATAGGGCTGGAGTGTTGCTTGTGTATTGGAAAAGGTTAAGCCAGTGTGTATGAGTGAAAGTGTCTAGTAGAAGCAATGGCCTTGGGACTTTAGAGAGCATGGACGAGGAGGTCCTGGTCCCAAGAAAAGGATGAAGCTAACTGCATTGTTAAGCACTTCCAGAACAGTGTTGAATAATAGCTGCAATCTCTGGGGGGTATGGCGATACATTCTTGAAGTGCAGCAGCAAGATCTCAGGTTTGAACCCCTGCTGGGCAATTTAGCAACTTAAGGGGGTGTAGGGTATGTAGCTCTGGGCAAAGGCCCTGGCTTTGATCCCTCATAACACACACGTGTGCACGCGCACACACAAACTCACTCACTCAAGCATTCTTGTCTTGTTCTTGGCATTAATGGAAATGCCAGCTATATCATGTTAGTTTTGGTTTGGAGACAGATATTATTTGTCATGTTAAATAAGTAACATTCAAAGTTTATTTCACTTATCTGTTTTTTCCAGATAAGTGGAATTTTTCAGCATCAAAATTATGGTTGTATTTCTTTGACCCATGCAAATGATCAGTTATTATCATTGTGTAACCTGCTCTTGAACTAACTTTATATTTCTGAGAAAAATTCTATTTGATCCTGGATATTATTCTTTTCTTATTCTGAAGATTTTATTTGCTAATAGTTTAAGATTTCTACCTTTGTTAATAGGTGAGGCTCATGTAGTTTTCTTTAGTACTATCTTTGTCAATTTTAATAACATGTTTGCAAGTAGGTCCCGAGCTTTGTAAATTTTCTTCTTTCTTTTCTCTGGAAACATTCATTTTTTTTTTTTTTTGGCAGAACCGAGGATTGAACTCAGACCTTTGCACTTGCCAGGGAAGCACTTATTCCACTGAGCTATTTCCCCGGCCCTCTGGAAACATTTATATGGTGCAGAAATGATCTGTTCCTTGAAGGTGTGAATAAATGGCCTCTGAAACATCTTTGTGCAGCAATTTGGCAGTGGAGGAGAGGGCAGATCTTTGGCAATTTAGAAAAGAGTAACACACATATACATGGTAAAAATTTCAAACTGTATGAAAAAGCCACAATGAAAGGTCCTGGTCCTGCAATGGGTGAGTCCTCCTTTGAAAGTAAATTCATCCTATATTGCCAGAGACCCTCAGTTTCTCTATCTTGAGGCAACCAGTTACCAGTGTCCTGTGAAGCATTCCTTCTGGAGCAATCCCTTACTTTTTTCTAAATCCCTTACTTTTATTTTTAATTTAATTTAATTTTAGTTTTTGTATTTAGTACAGGATCTACAGGGTCTCACTACATAGATGGGGGTTTGTGGTGATCCTTCTGTTTTCAGCCTTCCAAGTGCTGGGATTACTTTTTTTTTTTCCGGAACCGGGGATTGAACTCAGGCTCTTGTGCTTGCTAGACAAGCGCTTATTTTACTGAGCTATCTCCCTGGCCCCATGCTGGGATTATAGGCACACGACCACCATGCCCAGTCTCAGTCGTGTCTCAGCACTCCCGGGGGAGCAGGGCCAGCACATCACACTAGGGATTGAACCCTAGCCGCTGAGCTCTGCCTAAGCCAGCGCTTTAGTCCACTGAGCTGTCTGGCCGGCCCTAGATCCCTTACTTTCTAACAAAAATATAAAACCTGCTCAGCATCTTGCTTTTTATATATTTTGAAATTTCTCTTTCTAAAACTTGTCCTATTAAAACTCTCTGCTTTATTTCTAAGTCAATTTTGACTACTTCTCTAGGGAACTATTTCAATATTTTTGTTATTTTCAGAGTTTTACACTATACTTGAAATTCAGAATAACCAATACAATTTTTCATGCCTTTTGATTTAAGTGTTTATCCTACTCCTACTACAGAGTTTCCAAGCAACTTTGGCCAAGTCCCTTTGTACTGAAAATGTGTTCTGGCAGAAGGTAATGAGTAATTATATTAAAGAATACTGAATTTGGTAATTTTGTGAGATGCATTTGTAAGTAAAAGCAGAATAATTTCTATTTTACAAGTTTGTTCCTATGTAGCCTCCTTACTTGATAACCATCCTTCCTGTGTTTTTAGTGCATCACATCCAACTAGCACCCCTTTGGTCACATAAGGAAAATGACCATTGTTTTACGGCCTGTCTTCCTCTTAAGGCCATTTTGAAACAAATGATTAAGGGGCCAAAAGATAAGGTTAGGGGCAGAGAAGTTGGGGTTTTGTGGCTAGAGAAAGATAACTAATTTTAGAGGTTGGCAAGGAAATAGAAGAGGTTGTTTTAATCAAGGGCTTCAGGAAAGTGAGAAGGGACTTGGTGATAAGAAATGAGAAAGGAGGGGGAGGGAAAATGGGGAGGAAGGCTTAGGCTGGTCTTGGAGCAGGTGTGACACAATATGCTTTTGTACATTTTTTAAAAAAAGGTTTGAAAGAAACTTTAAACTCGTTTTTTAAAAAGAAATACTTCATAGTTTTCTCTTTTAAACGCTACCCTAAAATACTTGCAGGATGAAGGCTAAAGAAAAATCAGTAATAAAACTAGCCAAGGGTCCAGCAGTTGGGCTTCCTTCATTTCCCCCTTTCCTCCAGTAAGTATTTAATCAAACTGAAGTAAAAGATTAAGTGGTTTTTAAAATCACCCAAAAATAAATAAACCTAGTTTTAAGTTGTTGACCTATCTTCACAATGCAACAGAATATCCAAAACCCACCTAACAATTTTCCCTGAGCATTACTCATGCAGCATTGTTTGTTTACATACTGTTTTGAGTTTCACTCAGGTCGTATTGAATACATCTGATAAACTTGTCGCTTTTGTATTTCCTGTTAATTATCTTATAAAAATTAATGAAAAAATGCAATTTGGGGTCATTCTGTATTTAAATAGACTTAGTTGATTAACTTTATTTTTTAAAATCTAAAATTTTAAAGGTAAAAAATATGGTAATAGATGAAGTTTCCTTATTTGCATAACCTAAGAAAGAGTACTTAGTGTTATACAGGAAATGATTATGCTTCACTTTCTTAGTTAAAAAGTACTAAATACTACTTGAATTTATTCTCACCGGGGATTGAACTCAGGCCCATGCGCTTGCCAGGCAAGAGCTTATTCTCCTGAGCCATCTCCCCAGCCCCCTTGAATTTATTGTTTACAGATTAGTGATAAGGGCTGGTGACAGGATCCAGCTTTTTTTTTTTTTTTTTTTTTTGAACCGGGATTGAACTGAGGCCCTTGCGCTTGCCAGGGAAGCGCTTATTCCACTGAGCCATCTCTCCGGCCCCAGGATCCAGCTTGACTCTGATCTCCAGGTGCCTTCACAAATACAGTGTCTGTACTTCCAAACACAGTTCCAACCATAAGCTATTTTTCCAACATGTCAACAAAAATAATCTGTATTTTTGTATGTGATTTCTCTTTTATAACTTGTTTTAAAATGAAACACATTTTTGTAAAAATGAGTACTTGAGCTAAGTTGTATCCCTTTTTTTCTTTTAAGTACATCATTAAATGTAGCAGTCCTTGGGGCTGCCATTTGGCTCAGTAGCCTTTAAAGCTCTATATAACAGAGCCCTAAACAACATGTCTACTTCATATGCTCATTGGCAGATTCAAATGGTAGTTTATAATGCATATTTAAAAGGTGCTAAATATTGGCTGATTGTCTTTAAAGTGTTTCCAGATGTCATGGCATTTATAAAACATTTGAATTTGAGTGATTAATGTGATAGTGAATTACTGTCAATAAAAGCCAACTAGTAAAAATTCAAAAAAATAAAAAAGGTTTGATATACACTGGTGTAAATTTTAATTGCACGTCCACATGTACTTGAGCATGTATTGGAAATTATTTTTGTTTGAAATATCAACAACACTTAAAACAGAATGACAATATCACAAAAAAAAAGCTTCGTTAAGGTTGGAAATTTTGCTTTTCCATATTTTTCCTCAAGTTTACCACAGCACTTTGGGTGTTTTCCGTGATTGTCTATGCAAAAATATAAAGAACTTTATTTCTTATCCATTTCCAATCCTGTTTGTAAAATGCTTACGTTAGTCCAGTATTCACACCCACAAAGGACACTTAGGTATCCTGAATACTGACTGCGTCAACAATGGCCGGACTGCCTGACCTCATCCAACATGAGGACAGAGGCTGAGGCGGGAGTCAGAGCTGAAGCGAAAACTCAAGGATGAGGTTGGGATTTACGGGTTTTTCCTTTTCTTTCTTCCCTCCCTTCCTTTTTGTGCGTTGATGAAGACACGGTATGGAGTTTCTAATAGCTAAGGTGGTGGATGAGAAGTGCAGGGAAAGAGCGCAGCAGGGGCGACAGCGGGAGGTTGGTGAGGGAAGGGCTGGTTCTTTGTTAGGAGCAAGTAAGTCGTTAGGTGGCCGGATGAGAGAGGGAACACCATTTTCCCCGGAAGCGCTGTGCTGGGGAAACGGGCACCGGGGGCCAATCCGGATTACTGGAAACGGTTGTGGGGGTGGACAGGGAAGGGAGCCTCAATCCGGGGACCGACAGAAATTGGAGTCCGGGTTGAGCCTGCACGGCAGAGCCTGTCTGGGCGGCTGCACAGAGTTCGCTCAAGCTCATGGCCCAATGGCTACAAAGCACCCGAACCCGCTGGGGCTGCAAGCCCTCGCCTGGCGCCTCTCGGTGACGCGGTCCCAGCGTGACGACGCACTGCAACGCCTCCACGTCGCAGGTTCCGCAAAGGACTGTGGGAAAGGCCTGAGAGGAGGGCCAAGATGGCGGAAGCGGCGGAGTCTCCGGGCGACCGGGAGACAGCATCGCCCAGGCCCCTGGTGAGCTTGGGAACTGCGACGTACGGGACGGAGGGTGAGGCAGAGTGCCTCCTAAGGAAGTCGAGGCACGGGCTTGTAGTCCAACAGCGCCGGAGCCCCGAGTGCTAGAACCAGTCCCCACACTGCACCTGTTCCTTGGGTAACAGCTTTCCCCCTCCTCACTTTGTGTCTTCTAGTCTTCTGGTGAAACTCCTCACTTGTTTCGTGTCCCGTACTCGGAGGGTTTGGCCCCGTCCTCTACATTGTGTTAAATGTAGCGCTTTAGGTGATACCTTTCCTTTCACTCCTCTGACTGTCACAGCTGGTCACCAGCCCTTGTTGGAGCAGCAACATTCTAGAAGTAACGAGGGATTGTTTTCCAGCGAACGTTGACATTTTATTGCTTATAACTTGTTCAATGGCCTCAGTAACTGGCTGTTCACCCTAGCTCCTTGCCACGTTCTTCGGAATACTCACTTGAAGGGGTTAGAATTTCTACTATCGGTACAAAGTCCAGAGCTCATACTTTTTGAGAACACAGGTTTTACAGTTAAACTCACCTGGGCCGAAATCCACCCATTCTGCTACCACGTATGTGATACTGAGCAGGCCATTTCATGCAGTGTGAGTCTTCATAGTCTATAGGACATGAAAATACTTGTCTCAGAAGTTTTTAGGAGGATGGAATGACCTAATTTATGTAAAATATCCACTACTATTGGTACCACGAACCAAGGAGTCTAAGCCGGTGTTCTGCCCCAATGTCTCTACTCCCAAATAGTGTACAGTTATGTAGTACTTGCTCAATAAATGCTATTTCTATTTCCTTGTTTTAAATTGACATCGTAGTTAGTGAACTATGGGTCAAGAGACTTGGTGTTTCCTCCCTCTATTTGTTCACCATTTCTTTCATTGAGCAAATATTTATTGAGCATCCACTGTGTGCCAGGCACTCTCTTGGCCACTGGGGACATAGCAATAAAAGAATGAGGCAGGGGAGAAGGATAGAGTTGCAACCTAGTATGTGAAATGAAGCCTAGGTCCTTATTTGGGAAATAGTGATAGAAATTCATTGCAGGATTAGTGAGGGGACTGACTGAGCACACACAGTATCTACCGTGGGATAGTTAGACATGCTTGGCTGTTTAACAGTTAGCTATTTTTTCATACTCTCCCAATCACTTTCCATGAAGCTTTCATGGATTACTTCAGTGGTTTTGGTCATTCATTACTCAATATCCAATCTATTTCTAGCCGACAAATGTTTCTTGAACTTCCATGCTGTATAATGCATTGTGCTACTTGGTATAGAGAACACAAAGGGCCTGCTGCTATGGTGCTTATAGTCTAATTTGTAGGGATAATGCCAGTACACACTGCTAAAATAAAGCTGTGCATAAGAGAAAATTGCACATGAAATACTAGGTAGGTATATTTAAAAAGAAGATGCTATTATGTCCAACTGAGATGATCAAGCTTCGTGGTAGAAGTTATGTTTGAGAGGGCCTCAAAGGATGGGTATGATTTGAAATTCTAAGTGACCATAAGAGTTATCAGTGACTGAGCACTTGCTGTGTGCCAGGCATTGTGCTCAACATCCTCCACTTAATTTCTAAACTTCACAGTAATCATTTCAGTGAGGTGGCTTTAAACTATGTTTTGTTTACAGATGAAGCAATGAGGTACAGAGGGGTTTAACTTGCTTAGAATCTTGCATCTGGTTAGTGGGCAGGCAAAAAATTTGAACCTAGATCTAACTGAAGTTTGGACTATTACCACTTATGCTACTTAGACTCTCGTGGGTGAAGGCACAGAGATTGGAAAGTGCTGATATGTTTATAGAACAACACATATTTTCTATCTGCCCTATCTTTTCTGCTCTATTACTGCAGTCCTTTTTTTCTATAGGAAGCTTTAAAAAAATCATAGAGCTTACTCAGTGTTTTTTAAAAAATACTATAAGCATGGTTGAAAAGTTATTTTTCATAAACTCTTCAAACAACCTCATTCTAAGATTTTAGGAGTCTCATTTTTTTAAAAAGGAATTTGTAAATTCTAGAGTTTTGGTCATGATAATCATATATAGCAGATGAACATAAGAGTTTAACAATTCACCTTCTTTATTCACTTTTAAAATTGTATCTGATATGTGGTTGCCAAGTAGTCTGGTAAAAAGAATGTAAATCAAGATATTTATATTTGTTTCAATTTACATTTTATGTAATACTCTTCTTTATCCAGCAGAGGCCACTAAAGCCACTAAGTAACCTAGTGCAACAGGAGTTCAGCATTTCTTACATGTCCATATTAAAAGATCACTTTTTAATAGCTCTACAGTTATTATCTCTGTCTTGATAGCTTGTCTCATTTAGGGATTTCATGCTGGAAAGAAACTATTTGAGGGCAAGACAAATACAGAATTTACTTTCACTATTTTTTCAATGAAATTGTTTAATGTCTCTTCAGGTAACACCTACTTTACTGTGTAAAACCTAGGAAGTGATGATGTCTTTGAGAAATGCTTCAGTGTATTATACCTTTAATTTTTTCCCACTGTCACTTCTCAGTTTGCAGGCCTTTCAGATATCTCTATCTCACAAGACATCCCAATAGAAGGAGAAATCACCATTCCCATGCGATCTCGCAGTCGAGAATTTGACAGCTCCACGTTAAATGAATCTGTTCAGAATACTATCGTAAGTTAGACTAGTTGAGAGAACTCTTCAGTGTTACAGAACTAAATAACTGCAATATTTTTGTTTGGTTTACTGCTTGCTCTATTTTATTTGTTGGAGTGTATGATTCTCTCCTAGAAAATAACCTGGCACAGGTGGTATTTTTGATACTGGGAATCAAACTCATAGCCTCATGCTTGCCAGGCAGGTGCTGGGCTGCTGAGCCCCTGCTCCAACTTATTTCTGGTCAGTCTTTTTTTTTTTTTTTTTTTCAGAACCTGGGATTGAACTCAGGCCCTCGCACTTGCCAGGGAAGCGCTTATTCCACTGAGTCATCTCCTCGGCCCCTCTGGCCCAGTCTTTGAAGAGCTGTTTGGCTACAATAGATACTAAGAATCTTAAGATGTCTAAACTTTTAAAATGATTTTATTTCTTTATAACATAATGAAAAATTAAAAAGTTAAAAATAATTTGAACAGAAAAATTGAGTAAACAAAGATGTTCTTATAGCATTCTTTTGTAATAGAAGCAAGTTGGAAAAAATATTGGTTAAGTTCAATGTATTATATTGATAGAATGCCAAATAAACATTAAAAATTAAAATCTAGGATAGAATTGTCTCCATTGTATTTTGAAAAGTTGTATTTACATTACTGCATCCTGAAGTGTCTTGACTGATTCTTTTATCAATTAAATAGTGAGTATTGGAACTTAATATATTTATATGTTACAAAGAATGTGGTAGCCAGGGAGCAGGCTTATTGGCTTTGGGACCCTAACATGTATGAACTGAATGTCACATTCTGTGTTTTTTTTTTTTTTTTTTTTTTTGGTGGAACCAGGGATTGAACTCAGGCACTTGTACTTGCTAGGAAAGCACTTATTCCACTGAGCCAACCCCCTGGCCCCACATTCTGTGTTTTACAGAGCAGCTTTTCATGATATTTTATTTAAGTATCATATTGGGAGAGCCCTCTTTTTTTTCCTTTTTTCTTGCCCAATCTCAGTTGCAATCTCAGGGTGCCCCAGGGGCGGGGCTGGCATGGCAGGCCTGGGGATTGAACCCCCTGGCCCCTGCACCTGCTTGCAGGTGTTTTAATCTGCTGAGCTTTTTGGCTGCCCCCCCCCTTTTTTTACAGAGTTTTCAAAATCAAAATAGAACTGGTAGTTGTGTGGAAAATTATTGAGTATTGAATTAACAGAGAAGCCATACTCTCAACTCTTTGGTTTATTTGTATAGTGAAGAGAGTTGTACTGGCATAAACCACAAAATTCAATGAAGGCTACCTCACAGGAGATTGAAAAAAAAAGAAATTTTAGCAAATTAACTGAAGGGATACCTGATCACCTTGGTCATTGCAGTATACCCGGTTGTTTGTGTCTTTCAGATGCGTGATCTCAAAGCTGTTGGAAAAAAATTCATGCATGTCTTATATCCGAGAAAAAGTAACACTCTTTTGAGAGATTGTAAGTATATGAAATTTCTGAGGGTTTGCTTCATTTCATTGTACCTTATATTAGTACTTTATAAGGCAAAGGCTCTATGGCAATAAAACTGATGTTATTTTGCAAGATGAAAATATGTAAATGAAAATTTTGGAAGAAATTTAGAATGAAATTTAGAGGTTAGGAGTTTTGCTAATTATCTTTATCTATAAATAGAAGGCTCTTTACCTTCACCTGGACAATGCTCTAGCAGATGCTGTCAAAACATTTCTGGAAGCTGCTTATATATAGGGACTTTGTTCAACCAAAGAACTAACACTTTCCAAGTGAAAAGCAAATGTTAAAATAGTATAATATCAAATACTTGTTAATGACTAACAAATTAATTTTACCTTCATGATATTTTTGTTCTCAAGACTATTACTTAGTCTGATGACTGCTTTTTCTGTTAAGAAGTTCTTTTAAAACCACAATAAAATTTTCTTAGAATTTTTTTCTTAAAATTATTAGGTTTCTCATTTTTCTTTTCAAGTCAGTTTTTATTCCTTATCAGAAAAATCAGGTCATTTGTTTGAGAACACTAACAGTGATGTCATACATGAGTGTACCTTCCCTTTTTTTTTGTTTTTTTTTTTTTGCATTACCAGGGATTGAACTCAGGACCCTACACTTGCCAGGCAAGTGCTTATTCTACTGAGCTATCTCCCCATGCCTTATGAGTGTACCTTCTATTGCAGCAACATTTCAGCTGTAATATAGGGATGTCAAGTAAGTAGTAAGTGTGTCATTACTCTGTGGAGCAACATCCACATTTTTCTGGACTGTGAATTGGTGCTGATAATTTAAGAATGATTTGCTATCTGTCTTAGTTACTTCTCTCATTGCTGAGACAAAATACCTGACACTCAGAGGAAGAAAGGTTTATGTAGCTCATGGTTTGTAGAGGTTTCAGTTCATCGTTGGTTGGCTGTGGGGTAGTGTGACATAGAGGGAGATCACAGAGGAAAAACAGTTCAAAGCAGACAGAAGAAAGCACAAGCAGTAAGCAAGGAATGACCACAGCTCTCTCTGCCCCTTTTATCTTATCCAGGCTACGGAGGGTAGGTACTACTCACACCTTTAATACTAGTACCACTGAGCCTAACAGTGTACCACAAATCATTCCTAATGTCACATACTCTAGATCTGGCCACCTCTGAAAAAAGCCCCATCTGTGACTGCATAAGCCTTTGTGGGAACATCTAAACACAGTTCATAACATTGTTACTGGTGTAGTGAAAGAGTGTGGACAGAGACTGGGGAATTAGCTCAGTGGTAGAATGCTTGTCTAGCAAGCTGGATGCCCTGGGTTTGGTCCTCAACATCACACACACACACACACACACACACACACACACACACACACAATAGAGCATGGGCAAATCCAGGTTTGAATAGTAGTTCCATGACTAGGTCTGTGGTCTTGAATGAGATATTGACTATTATGGGGCTCAAGGTTGTTTACCTGGTAAGCTGGAGATAATAACATGTGTCCTGCAGTTGTGGATTAGAGATGATAACATGTATAAATCACCTAGTATGGTATTTGGTATTCAGTAGGCACTCCATAAATGGTAGATACTATTTTAGTGCCCCCCCCACAAGTGCACATGATGTTATCTTACTTAATCCTTATTAACACCTTATGAGTTGAAAGGTATTGTGCCTGTTTTACAGATAAAATAAGTTTCAGAGAAGCTCTCAATGCCTTATCAAGATCTCATAGGCAAGATTAGAACAGTTTTCAAGTTCAGTACCCTTTCCACTTTATTGCTGTCCCAGATGCAAAGATATCCTTTCAGTTGCTACTGTGGCTCTGTTCAAAGCATGGTGGCTTCAGACACAATTCAGAACCAATGTGGTAGTTTAATTAGTGATGTGCTTTAGTTGATATATATTAGCTATTTCACATGTGAAGGTCTATACCCAAATCTTACGGAGAAAGATAGGCTGGCATAAATGATAAGTTATGACTAGAAATTTGCACTTTTGTGTTTATGCCCTACTTTGTAATCATATCCTATGGCAAAGTGGCAGCAGGGCAGTTTATGACTTACAAATAGTTTTTAAACACACAACTTGGGATCACTTCACATCCATTAGTATAGTTATGAAGAAAACAGAAAATAGCAATGTATTGCTGATGAGGTGAAATACTATAGTTGCTGTGAAAAACTGTATAGCTGTTCCTCAAAAAATTAAACATAGCATCACCAGATGATTCAGTAATTTCATTTTTAGGTATATACCCAGAAGAATTGAAGGTGGGGACTTGAGCAAGTAGTTCATATACATCTGTTGATATCTGCACTATTCATAGTGGCTAAAAGGTGGAAACAGCTGGAAACACTCATTGATGGATAACCAAATTATGCTATATACCATACGTGAATGGAATGTTATTCAGTATTTGCTAAGTGATAATAAGCACAAAAGGGCATATAATGCTATTAGGTACCTAGAGTAGGCAGATTCGTAGAGATTGAAAATAGAATAATGGTATCCAGGAGGTTTGCTGAGGGTAAGAGTGGGGAGTTTTTGTTTAGTGACCTAGAGTTTAATTTGGAAAAATTAAAAAGTTCCAAAGAGGGATGGAGGTGGTGCTTGTACAAGGGTGTGAATGCACTTCATGCCGCTTAACTGTATACTTAAAAATGATTAATACATTTGTGTTATATATTTTATAACAGAGCTAAAATAGGGCCGGCCAGATAGCTCAGTGGACTAAAGCGCCAGCTTAGGCAGAGCACAACAGCTGGGATTCGATCCCCATTGTGCCATGCCAGCTTTGCCTCCAGGGCGCCCTGAGAGGCGACTGAGACTGGGTGTGGTGGTGCATGCCAGTAATCCCAGTGCTCAGGAGGCTGAAAACAGAAGTCACTATTGAGTCTGATCTACGTAGTGAAACCCTGTAGACCCTGTACTAAAATACCTAAAAAAAAAAAAAAAAAAAAAAAAAGAGCTAAAATAGCTATGGATTTTTATGAATTAAAAACATCTTCAGTGCATTAAAAGTTGTATTAATGTGATACTTGAATTCATTTCTTCAATTAATCTTAAAATTTAATAAGATCAACAAGCATTGGAGTAGGGCTGTGGAGATAGCTCAACAGTCTAAGCACCTGCCTGGCAAGTGCAAGGACCTGGGTTCGATCCCTGGCGCCACATGCCGTGCTGGCCCTATGCTGAGCTGGCCACCAAGACTGGGTGTGGTGGTGCATGCCTATAATGCCAGCACTGGGTAGGCTGCAACAGGAGGATCACTATGAGTCCAAGCTGCGTAAGAGACCCTGTACCAGATACATAGAAAAAAAACCCCAATATTTAAAAATCATTAGAATAGTAGCATTATGATTTTTTTTTACCTCTTTTCCAAACTCTCCACATTTGTTTCAAAATTACTTATATAACTGAGTAAAAAGCCAAGTTTACATATGTACATGTGAGATTCAAGTTGAATGAAGGATCCATACACTTGGGTTAGTTGAGCAACATAATTTTCTATAAAGCTGTGTGTTGCTGAACTGTTGGTATACTTATCACTCAGCAGCTATTGATCAAAGACCACTGTTTGCTAGATCTGATGTTGGCAGAGCATTTTATTTTAAGAAAGCTTTTACATGTTGTTAAAGTTTAACCTTGGGAAATTACCAATACTGGGCTATTTTCTTACCTAGAAGAACAACAATTCCTTTAGTTCAATATAATAATTATAAAAGAGAAGCAGTCTGGGAGAGTGCCAAGAATTATGGACTGAGAATCAGCAGACCTAGGTTCTGGTCCCTTCTCTACCTATATACTTGGGCAAGTTGCTTCTCAGTTCCATATTTTGTGTTTGTGAAATGAGCAATACTGTCTTTACCTTGTCTATCTAATGCAGCCTCATGTTGATGGAGCAACTTGGGTGTGATCTCTGAGGATGTAGGGTGGGACACTAGGTTTTCCTACTGCATGCTGCTAGTAGGCAGAAACAAGTGATTTGTTGGATATGAGGTGAACAAAACTTAAGGAATATATAAAAAACTGTATTCTGAATTAGAAAACAAAGGGTAAGTAGGGGAACAGGAGAGATGAAAAGGCTTGTGCAAATAGAGCCCGGATGTCTGGATTCCAAGAATGGGAGGTAGGTATTGGCATACAGATAGAAAAAACACTACATGTATGTTTCTTAGTAATTTTTATCTTTCCTTGCCTTATAGGGGATTTGTGGGGACCCCTCATCCTTTGTGTGACACTTGCATTGTGAGTATTTGTATTTCCTTTGTCATTTGAGCCAAACTAGATTTTTTTATGGCCTTTTAAAATTGAGAATTTTGACAAAATATTTTAGGTAGGACTTCTGTGGCTTACTGTACTCCTTATGTACTTAATGGAAAAAGTCACAAAGCTTTCCAGATCAATTAAAAATTATGAAACTAAATAATGTGAAACGGATCACCACTTTTGTTTACAGGGTCTTCTAAGTTTTAGCCATGTCTATTCAACAAATATTTGTTTTCTCTTATATACTGCGCCATCATTAAACCAAGTGAATGAAATAGTTTTGGGTTTAAACATTATTTACAAGCATAGTTCTCTTTAAATCTTATTAAAATATGAATGAGAATAAATTAGACTATAAGTGGTAGAATTAAAAGCTAGATTCTGTCTCAGACTATTATGCTTTCCCATATATGGTGTGTACAAAGGGGAGGACCATAGGAGAAAGTTCCATTGGAGAGGGGAATACAACCTCTGATGAGTAGAAAATCTGCTGCTCTAAGCTTCAGTTCTGGCTTGTTATCCTAGCTCTACTATCAGCTATCTGTGTGACTTTGGGCTACTAATAACTGAAGTTTATAAAGTGATTTTTTTTCCTCTTTACACAAAATTTTAAAATATTGTCTCTTATTTTATCCTCATAGCAACTACTCAGTATTATTTTCCCTTTTGACAAACATGCTCAGATTTAGAGAGGTTATGGACCTAGTCAAGACCATATGATCAGTACTAGACCTAGTCTTCAACCTCAGGTTTGTGTCTGTTCTCTGCCTCTGTCATTATACTTTTCTCCACCTAACCCTATGGGTCTCCTTTTCCATATTGAAAAGGAGATGGTTGACAGGCCTAATCCTTCACCGTTCTAATTGTAACAAGTCAGCTCTTTTATGTGTGTGAGCAAACCATGGCCTTGTCCATGCTAGGCAAGTGTTCTATCAGTGAACTGCATCCCCAGCATCTTCAGCCCCTTCTAGTTTTTTCGCCCCATGCTGGCCACGAAACTTAGTGCCTGCACATCATTGGCAAGTGCCCATCAACTGAGCTACATCTACAGCCCTGACTTTTCAAAATAAATCGAGCATATGTTAATTTAGATCATAATATAGTATTCTTATTCCTTTAATAACCATATCAAGGGAATCAGTTCAGTGCCTTTTTTTTTTTTTGAAGTACTGGGGATTGAACTCAGAGCCTTGTGCTTGCCAGGCAAGTGCTTATTCTACTGCGCTATCTCCCCATCCCCCAGAGGAAGGGTTTATATTAGAAGCTCTTAATTCCACTTATTTGTAGAGAAAACCAGAGTCCTAAGACATCTATGACAGAACTAGGATCAGTGTGATCTCCTGCCTTTTAGACCATTCCATACTCTTTCCATCATATCATGCTAATGCAGTAGGGTTCCACACAACAAATGAGTGCTGGCATATATTTTGTATCTGATTGTCAAAACTTGGAATATGTGCAGCTGGAGAATATAAAATTCTGTATATATTGGCAAGTAGCATAGCTGGCCAAGACTTACTGTGTGACTTTTTCATGCAATGTAGTAAGAGGAGGTTCTAAGCTTCCTATTATTTATCATTTTTCTACAAAAAACCCAAGTCCAAATATTCTAAATCCAGAATTTAAAACTTTTTACATCTGTAAGATTATTAGGCAGAGGATAGTTAAGTGGCTGTTCAACTACCCAATTTCAAAGCAAAGACGCCTAGTAGTAATATTTAGGTTTTAATTCTTTTTTCTTTTAATTTTATTTGTGTGTGTGTGTGTGTATGTGTGTGTGGCCAGCTCAGCCCACCAGGGGGCGGGGCTGGCTGGCATGTGGTGCTGGAGGATTGAACCATGGTCCCTGTGCTTTGCTAAGGTTGTTCTAAGTAGGTGCTTTAGACCACTGAGCCATCTCACCAGCCCCTAGGTTTTAATTCTTTAAAAAAATCAGCAACTATCTGGGTACCATGGTACATACCTGTAATTTCAGCATTCTATAAGGCTGAGGCAAAAAGATTGCAAGTTTAAGCCCCACTCGGGCAACTTAGAAACTTAGAAAAACCCTGTCTCAAAATTAAAAAAAAATACAAAACGAACTGAGATTGTAGCTCAGTGAGAAGACCCTGGGTTCAGTCTCTACTAACCTCCCCCCATGCACATACACAAAAGGCAACTAAGTAGGTTTATAAGTTATTTCCATTTTTAAGTATCTGACTTAAAAACTTTAACCTCAAGAGTTACAAATCAGGTATGTCTAATAGAGCAGTAACTTGAATGCACATGGTCAAGACGCTTCTGGATTGGCTGCACCTGAGTGTTAGCATGTTGGAATGTAGGTTCAGCATGAGACAGTCATCATTTTCTTTCCAAGAAAATCTATAAATATGTGTTCCCCCACCTCTCTGCCTTTTGTGGTACTAAGGTCAAACCCACGGTCTCGTGCATGTTAGGCAAGTGCTCTACCACTGAGGTACAACACCAGCCCAGGAATTACATATGTGAAACCTCCCAATTGTAAAATAATTTCAAATAAAAGTAAAAACTATTTTAATTATTGTACGAACCAAGAACCTTATCTGTGAGCCACATTTGCCCCTTTGGGTTATAACCTGTGTTTGAATTAAAAGATCTTCAGTGATCCGTTTAAACATTTCAGCAAAGTGCAGCAGAGCACTGCTTATGCTCCTGAAGCATTTGGAACATGAAGGGAGCTTTGCCAAGCACTTTGGGCATTTTCCTTTCAGTGTGACCTATATATCGTAGATGATCAGATGAGGTACAGCACAGCACTTTGCTTCAAGAGTTTGAGAACCCATACCTTCACTTTGCTCTAAGTAAAAGATTAGGTAATTCTCATACTATTTACTTACCTCAGAATGTTGCAGAGAGGCTCCGTGGATGGTGATAAAGATGGAGGGCCTCAGTTTGCAGAAGTGTTTGTCATTGTCTGGTTTGGTGCAGTCACCATCACCCTCAACTCAAAACTTCTTGGAGGAAATAT